GACACTGTCGGGCTCTCGGTCCATGACCGAGCGCCCGACTTTTTAGAGGGGGTGACACCAAAATGACTGTCAGTCATTTTGGTGTCACCCCTGCAATGGTGTCACCCGGGTGCGGGCCCTCCTTGTGATGCCACTGGGCATCACCCTCCTGGCTTTTCAGTGTGGTAGGGGTGTACAAATCACAAGTAGATGAAAAAGAAATCATCAATGTTCTGTATATGGTCGGTATAATATTCAGTGTATTATGTGATTTCTTCTTTCATCCATTTGGCCGGAGTATCAGATTTGGGGGATCGCCGTCAGGCGCTGGCGGGGGGTTCATTGAACAGCGGAGAGACATCTGCTGTATTCAGCTGAGCTGAAGAGCGCTCAGCTCCAAGATGTAATAAGAATGATAAAAAGCTCCATAGTTAACCCCAGCAGACCCTGCAGACCGGCACCATCTCATCTCCTTCATATCTGTATAAGTTCTCAATGAGCAGCAGAAACGGGTGAGAGAAGCATTACCGTACCGCATGATGTGCCAGAGATAAGAAAAAATGGGGGAAGCTCCAAATATTGTAATGTAAGATAATATGAGATCCATGGCTGGGATGCTGACACGTCTCTCCTTCATTTCCTTCTCGGCGCTGCATTGAGGAAAATACGACATGACTGTTGTAATCCGGCTGAGCCGTCTATGGAAGGAGAAGCAGACCCAGCATCGTATATACAATATATTTGCATGCTGAGTAATGTGTCAGTGTAACCATTGCTGGTATCATTCCCTCTCACAGAGATCACAGGACTCCCCCTGACAATGCCTCCATTTGCTATTCTCTCCAGAAGGATGTCGCTATCTTTGTTCGGGCATCATCCATGGTCACCATCTACATCCTGGACTGAGATGGTGGCTCAGAGATAACACAATCATGTACATGCCGGTGTCTGTGCAGTTCATGTCTGTGTTCACAAATGTCTGACACTGATCAGCCTCCTGCTGCAGTCTGATCACTGGGGGAGGGGAGACTGAGGAAATACTTCCTCCTGCCTACAGCAGACTGATCACTGGGGGGAGGGGAGACTGAGGAAATGCTTCCTCCTGCCTGCAGCAGACTGATCACTGGGGAATATTACTGCCCTCAGAGAGATCTCCCCTCACTTCCTGTCCTGGTGACACCCTGTGTATGTGTCTGTTGGGGACAGAGACAGCAGTAAAAATTTGGCTCACCCTTTCCCCCAATGACATTGACCTATTCTATTGTATTCCAGTTGTTCTGTAGATACCAGGCTG